GCACCCAGCCCACGCTGGAGGCCAGGGCCGGGGGCGGCTCGGGAAGGCGTCCAGGCCTCACCACACGTGTGCATCTGAGGCCACTCGCCACAACCCCCACCCGCGCTGGCCGCGCCCCAGACCTCTGCTCCCCAGACCTCCGCTCCAAGCTCCGCCCCTCACCGTCCCTCACCTCTGCAGAGCACGGGCCGGGGCCAGAAATGGTGTCGCTGTTCCCGTTTCTCTGTGGGAAGCTGCTCTGAGACAACCCCCTCGTCTCCGAGAGGAATGACCGGGCAAGTGGGCTGTTTGTGGGCTTTGCCGTGAGGACGCAGATCGGGGCGCATCACGCGATACGTGGTCGTCACGCGATACGTGGTCATCACGCGATACGTGGTCATCACACGTGGGTTTGGATGGACGTCCAGTTGCTTACTTCTCTCCCTGGGACGTCTGACCAGTGGCGTTTTTGTAACTTCTTTTTCCTGAGAGAACTGTCGAGTTCAGTGGGAAGCCTGGGGCACGGCCCTGAGCCCTTCCTCTTTCTTTTGCGGACAGGTCAAGGCCTGACCGGGAGAGGCGGTGGCGCCGGAAGCCGGGGCGGGGAGGGGCGCTGCTGCTCGTAGCTGTGAGCCCTTGCGGCTCGCTGTCAGGGGCAGCTTGGGGCGTGTGCGTGCGCGTGTGTGTTGCGTGCATGCGTGTGCATGCATGCACCTGTGTGTATGTGTGTGCACGCGCACGTGTGCATGTGCGCGCTGTGCACATGCGATGCATACGCCTGCATGCACGTGCACATGTGTGCACATGTGTGTGCATGTGTGCTGCATGTACATGCATGCGTGTGTGCATGCATGTGCACGTGTGCGCGTGCATGTGTGCCTGTGTGCATTGTGCGCGTGTGCATGTGTGTGTGCGTGCATGTGTGCGCGTGTGCATGTGTGCCCGTGTGCATGCGTGTGGGAGAGGGGGCGAGGCAGCGGGCAGGTGGGGACGCGCTTCGGTGTGGCCGTCTAACCGGCCGCTCCTGAACGTGCTCGCTCTCCTGGGATCTGCTGGGCGCAACACCCAGAACACAACCACTGTCCAGCTCTCGGCGTCGCACGTCCTGCAACGTCTTTTCACGTTCCGCTGCCCACTTGGTTCTCCTAACGCCAGAAACGGCGTCGCTGTTCCCATTTCTCTGCGGGAAGCTGCTCTGAGACACCCCCCTCGTCTCCGAGAGGAATGACCGGGCACGTGGGCTGTTTGTGGGCTTTGCCGTGAGGACGCAGAGAGCGCCATGCTTTAGTGGCCTCTGGTGCCCGGGAAGCAGCGTGGGGCGGTGTCCCCTCTGTGCCGTGGACACGTGCCATGGCCCGTTCGCAGATGCGAGGGACCCACAGCTCCTGGCCTCGGAGACTGGCCGTCCAGTCTGGGGCTAAGCAGAGGGACTGGAGGACAGTCCCAAGTTTCCGTGTCTGGACGTGTTAGGGAGACGGCGGTTGTGCGTAGGAAAGGGTGACTGTGTCTGGGGTGGAGACGGTGGCCGGGGACCCGGCACGTTCGCTGTGTCTTCGAAGACGTGGGGCTTCACCTGTGGCGGTCGCACGGGGAGGGCGACCTGCGAGGCAGGTGGGCGGTGGTTCTGGAGCGAGCGAGTCTGAAGAACAGCACGGGCTGCCGCAGGTGCCCTCGTGTCCGGGGGCACGGAGGGCAGCTGGACCGGCTGGACCAGACGGGTCCGGCGGAGGCGACTTCTCAACACGGCAGCTGCCCCGGTGCCGAGCGCCGCGTCCGGGAGGGTGTTGCGCCGGGGTCCTGGCCTCCGTCTGAGCTCAGGCGGGCGTCAGGAGCCTCTGGTGACAGGCGCTGTCCCGCGCTGTCTGCCCCGCCCGCGGGGACGATTTCCCCGCAGACGTGCAGCTTACGATGCAGAGCGTGAGCAGATTCGTGCGCGCCGGCCATTCTGGGCCGTCGGTCGTTTATAAACACGTCGAGACGGATCTGCGCACTCCGTTCAGAAGGCACGTCGGTTCCATGACGAACAGAGAATCGAGAGACTGCGAATGCTGGCCGTTCTCAGGCGGTGTCAGCCACGAGGTTCCAAGGTCCTCTTCGTCAAATCCGAAAGTCCTCTGCATCACAGATTTATTTTGTCTCATTCTGAGCGATTCGAAGCACTTGGTGCCTGACTTACATCCAGGAAACCACGGCCAGAGTCCGGATGCCCGTCCAGGCTTCGTCCTTGGCAGCTCGCGCACGTGAGAAATGGCCCCTCTCCACTTAACGTGGCCCCGTCTGTCTCCGTGTCCCTGTCCAGCTTCTGGCGGGCAGAACAGGCCCCTTAATGCTGCCTGGAAACAGCGGCGAGCGAGCGGGTTGCACCCCCAGGCACTGAGAAGACCCCCCGATGCTGAATGGGGCGAGAAATGCAGGTGTCGGCGATTCCCAGAGCAGAACTTCACACATCAAGTGCGTTGGCTTTAGAGGTCACGCCACTTTCCTCAGTTCCTGTCCTGTCGTCCTCGAGGGGACCTTGCAGCGCCCCGTGCACCTGAGCGGAAAGGAAAGGCAGGTGGGGGACGGGCTGCGTCATGTCATGTCCCCCCGCTGCTTCGCAGACCAGGGCCGTGCGGCCGAGACCAGGCCCCTCGGGCCGAGTCCAGGTCTGAGGCGCTCCCTCTGTCCTCTCCCCGAAGCCGGCGCTGGCCGCAGCCATGTCCAAGCCCGCGTGACTCACCCGTGAATCAGGAACAGTGTTTTGGACGCCGGTTCGGGAAAAGCTACTGATGGCCTCTCTCATTTGTTCAGAATCTGCTGTGGTTCTGCAGCGTTTTACAAAGAAAACAGCCCTGGTTCCAACCACTGCCCTCCACACCCGCATCTTGTGACTTCTCGTCGCAGAGTCAAGGTCGAGGGCGAGGCCTCTGCGTCGAGGGCATTGCCTTCCTGGAAGCGGCTCCGGGGAGCGTTAAGTGCTCGGCCCGGCAGGGTGCAGCAGCCTGTCCAGGCTGCCGTTTCTGGCCGCTCCGCATGTGACTGTCCCTTGCAAACTCGGCAAACTTGACTCGGCAGTGTCTGGGCCGCGGCCGGGGGTGCAGGTAATGCGGGAGTGGGTTTTCCCTCTGCTTTCTGCACCCCTGATTCATTCGTTGGTTTTCGGTTAACCCTTTGTGTGCTGTGTGTGAGCAGACAGGAGGCGGGCAGGGGGGCTGGCGGCCGAGGAGGTGCAGGAGCTGCTGACGAGACCCCAGGTGTCTCGGCCAGGCCTGCCCGTGCCCCCGCCCGTGCCCCTGCCCGTGCCCCGCGCAGTCCCGGCTGCTGCAGGGACCATCGTGTCCATGCTCGTCTGGGGAGGGGATTTGGGAGGTGGCAGCACAACCCCTAAGGAGGAGCATCCTGTCCCCTGCCCTCTGACTGGCCCCAGGGCGCCCATGCCCTGCCCTCCTCTCCAGGTTAGCGGCTCACTCCTTCTCGGCCACACGTGGCAGACGTTCCCGCCCTGTCTCTGATTTGGCTGGCCCCCTCGGTGGAGCCATCAGAATGTAGCTGTCCCTCGAGTCACATTCCCCGCTAGGGGCCGAGCACAGTCCAGAAGCCCACGCACTGGTCGCCAGTGACCTTCGCTGCCCCCGGCCCCCCTCCGCAGGGTCCCCCACCCCTGCCTCCCCCTGCTCCCCACTTCCACGCTGCTCTGCCGTTCCGGTCTCAGCCGGGGAAGGGGCCAAAGCCGAAAGTGGCTCGCAGAGGTCAGGAGTGACCGCCACTGGCTTGTGGGTTATTCAGCCCAGGTATCGCTCATTAGGCCGATGGCATCGGCCGTCTTTATTTTAGAAGAAGCTAAACGCAGAAAAGTGCGTGTGCCTTTGCTTCTGTCCGCCGCGTTTCGGGACGCAGCGAGCTCCTCCCTGGACCGGCCGCGCTG